AATATCCCTCGAGAAGCGCCGCTGTCACACGTTCAAATGAGGTACGTAGCCACGACTCTAGGATATCTCTGGGATATGGAGTGTATACGTTTTGGCGCAGCGCCAACCTATTTCTGTCAATGGCTGCCAGCCTTCTCGTCAGCACCACTCGTTTCCAACGCTGCTCCAAAACGTAAATACGTTGGAACGTTCCCACATGACGTACCGATAGCGACTGTACACGGACCTCACAAAATGATTTTAGGGTAACATTTTGTCACGGACCTTGTAACGAGATGAACAATGAACTTTTAACTCAATGATTCCAAAGCCTCTATAGAAAATGGATGGTAAAAAGTTGAAAGATGGCATAACATTCTTGGCAATGTGGAGGGGAGGGGACGCTTTGACGCAGCGCCGGCACGTTTTCCACCAATTGCTGTCGTTTCCCCGTCTCCAACAATTGGTAGAAGGTGGGGGAAGAACGGTTGGTGCGGCGTCAAACCCAGCCAGGATACGCCCGGCACTAACAATAAGACTGTAATATGCATCACTCTAATCTGGCCCCAGAAATGTGAACCACTCAAGGCTGTGGAGATATATTTCTCCATTTTATCAAGGCACATGGTTTGTTAAAATGGGAAGTATGTAGTTACAACTGGTATCGTCGCAACAGTCGACAGTGCGGGGTGGTTTTTGAGGGGGGTTGAGTTCTTTTCCTAATGAATTAAATAGAAGTGCTATTAATATCATCAAAATTTACCACATTTATGAAAGGCAGAAAGAAATCGACACCATCGCTACAGCTGACTTGTGTATAAAGTGAAGAATGAACCATTCCAAGGCAGAAGCAAACAATACCAAACGCCTGCAACAGAAAATTCGTGTATGAGGCAATTCCAATGGCAGTTCGGTCATTTGAGCTTTTGCTTCAATTATCATTCTAAAACTTTGACGCGTTTTGGCTGGGAAAGCGCCGCGTGGAACATGGCGTGCTTTTCACATGCGTCCGCTTTGAGCCACTTGTGTCCCGCCTATGTTAAATCTCACAAAGTGATTAGTCAATGCAGCGACTGCTATTTCAACCATCCTTGACCCTATTGGATGCAAACCCATGCCTCGCCCTCTGCGACCATCCAACTTTTTTTAGCGCGATCGTGATTTCCAAAATGTGTGCCATAACTTCTGTTTCTAAGAATTTTCTTGGAATTTTCTGCTTTTCACACATTACAATGATTCATAGACGGCCACACCGACACATTTCTATCGAATTCGGTGTCAAAAAGATCGCTGGCGCCGAAGTGGCGCCAACACTGGAGGGCAACCGATATTCGTGACAAGGATGTCAAATAATCTAGCTATGGAGGTTTCTATCGCATTCGGTGCCAAAAGACTGCTAGCGCAAATGGCGCCCATGGCGCCATATTGTCGCCATTGACAAATGACCTGGGCGCCATATGTCGCCATTGACAAATGACGCTGGCGCATAATGTCGCCATGGAAAATATAAGATCTCACGTTCTTTTGAGCAAAGGACCACCCATTCCTCAGCCAAGGTCTCACGTTCTTGATCAAAGGACCACCCATTCCTCAGCCAAGGTTCCGTCTAAATAGAACTAATTTGAAGGTTCCGCGCAGCAAAAGCTATTGGAAATTTTAATTTTTAATTCAAAATATCCCATGGGACAAGAACGTTTTTGTTCTTAATCTGTTGGATTATTTCATCTCCAAAGCGTTGTTGAAACACAGGAAAAGATTCGATTGACGACTGCCCCGCAATAACCAGAAATTGATGGGAGAATGTTATGAAGCCACGGTGGCTCAAAAGTGTCCCACGTGGCCACTCACTTTATGATCACGCGGTGGCCTCAGATGGTCGTCAAGTATGTTAACAACATCATTGTCATCTAAAGGACCATTATTTAGCGGTGAAGCCCCGCGCTCGCTTTATGGAGCGCAAGTGTTCCGAGCGGTATACCGCTGCGCGAAAAAAAAGACTCGGAATAAGCCACAAAATCACCTTTGAACCGTTCTGAAGCTCTTACTCAAAAGCAATAGTGGAAAGGTGAGCAGATAGCGGGGTTTTCAACAAAAAAATATTCCGCGCTCTGAATTTGGTTTGCTTACAATTGGAATTGATAAGAGCCTTCATCATTCATGGAATCGACTCTATAGAAGTTTCACGGGTATCCACGTATATTCCTCTACAACCTTGAAATGCATGGAACTGCTCACTCGTGTTGGGGGTCTTCTTTCCTTTGCCTCGTGCCTCAAGTTACCTCAAAGATGCTTGATGGGTTGAGCTGAAGGCTTTTACTCGGTCATTCTCTCATCCGGATGCTGACCTTGAGAGGAGGGGGCACAAATTTTGAGTAGTTCATGTCTGCTTTGTTTTACTGGTTAAAAACAGAATCCCAGGCATACTTTCTTCATATCCATAATACTCCGGTACACCAGCCAGGAAAAATCGAGTATATTTGAAAGAAGATTCCGATTTTTTGGCCTGCTCCGTGTTTTTTTTTTCGCATCTGCCTGGTTTTGCTCGCGGCAGCGTATCCGTGAACATTTGTCGGATAGGGCAGAAAGGGGTAAGAGGTAGGGTACAGCATCGTTCAAAGAGGCCCATTCAGTATTGTACTTGGCAATATTATAAGAGGATATTATTTAACTCAGGGATTCAGTAGAAAAATGGCCCCAAACATGAAAGGTCCAGAACACAAAAAAGCAAAGGCTGCTGTACAAGAGACCTTGAAACCTGGTTTAGAAAGATGTTTTGGTTCCCTAACCCTGTGGCGGCGCCCTTGCTCTTAATTTCAGCTAGTTTTAATAGTTCAACTTTTGTAAGAGAAGTTAAAATGTGCCAGTTGAGGATGGAGACAGCCAAGTCTGAATCAACCGGTGACGGGAGTGGCCGTTTTGTGGGCGTGCGGTTCATGAAGCGTCAGGTACTTTTTGGAATGTTAGCCGTTGTTCATCCGTAATTTTCTACTAAGCATATTTACCCTACAGGCATACTAAATTACTATGATCACATCTTTATAATTTTCAATGAACGCCTTAGGAACAGCTGAAACCTAAAATGTTGAACGAAACTTACGCACAATCCTACAGCAGTGACTATATGAGTATATACAAGTACAGAAAATAGTTTCCATTGTTTTTCAGGCACATTCAGAAGAGTACGTGCTTCAACATACTAAAACAAAATAATGCAGTTATCGTGGGAATTCCTCGACCCATTTTCCAAAAAACTTACCGCTGCTACATCTAGAGAAAATGTGGTGAATTTGCTATTGATTGCCTCCAAAATATTATTTCTCGAAACATAGCTAGGCATGAACTTTTATAGATCTGGAACGAACTACTAGAGAATTAGTGTAGACTCACTTTCAAAATTGACGAGGAACATTTAGAACGTCTCGAATGATGGCACGTGGTGTTATAAAGTTAGCCTTTCATTCTTATCTACAACACTACAGTCAGTTCAATGGAGCGCTCACTGATAGGCTAATAATCATGGCTGTGATGGGTACATTCGATTTGACTAATTTTGTATATTGAAAAAAACTTTGTATCTAGTCGCTTCAAACGTCACTTTTAATGGCCGTTCGCCCTTTGTCGCCATATCTGCTCTATGCTAAATATCCTGAGAAATCCCTGTGATTGGGTAGGCGGACCTAACCTGAAGGTGTCTATGCTTCTGGTGAGATATTTTCATCTTGACACAATTGTTGTCGTGTCTCTGTCCAACACAGAACAAGATGACAGTTGTCCCAGACTGGAATATTCCACGAGTAACCAATTCCGTACCATGGCCACGCCTACTCTGACTCAGGGATAAAGAGTGTAAGTAAGGCAGCACCTACTCTCACATTCAATTTCAACATAAAAAAGGGGAGATTTTGCTTCTGAGCTCAACTGACCCCCAACCCTTACTAGTCGGGTAAGTCACCCGACTGCACGTCCATCACTGCATTGGATTCATAAATGGTGGGTGTAGAAGAAATATCGAAACCAGTTTCTCCGATCATTTGTTGTCGTTTGAGTCGGCTGATTTTTTCGTTTTTCTTCCCTAATCACAGCAGTTCGGCGGATACTAGTGTACCAAACAAATTTCTAAGTGATGATTTGAAAGTGATAAAGTTTTCACAAAACAAGAGCTTTGTAATGCCTTGGAAAACTGTTTGAATGAGAACAGTTAGTCAATCCTTCATAAGCTCTTCGTACAGATTAGGCTGCGCTCATACTTTGCAGCAGCGTCCACCAGCGTTTCGAGGGCTAAGGAAGCATGAGTGTCGATCTAGAGTATAGCAGCGTCTGCCAGCGTCCACTATCATTTAGCAGCGTCCGGGAGTATGGCGCGATAGGACGGTAAAAACAGACAGCTAGACCCTCCTAGCGCACCATATTCTCTAAGAGTCGACTGCTGGTTGCTGGTGGACGCTGGCAGACGCTAGAGCGAT